ATTTGGGAGTGAATGTGTCACCACTTGGGCACCAGTGTCCTACATGACAAGGTTATTTAAATATTAGAAAGACCAAAACGACATACTCCCAAACTACCCGTGGGGATGTTCTCTTGCGTGGGCATAGGCTGCAAGTCTGGGTTCTCTGGTTTGCTGTCCTGTAATTTTGAGACCTTGGGTGGTTACTTTGCCCCCTCCCCATGTTAATTTCCCCAGTGTGTGCAGAAGACTAGAAAGTGTATTTAGGAATCACATTTCCTACGAAGTCCTTCATAAGTGCAGCCTGTAAATGGGCCAGGTTTTAGAGGCGAAGATGCAAAGTCAAAGTTATCTGAAGCAGGGGAGTTGCAGGCCAAGGTCTTCGACATGTTTTCCACAGGGGCAAGTAAACAGTTCTGTCCTTGGCCCTTCGGCAGAACTCCAAGCTCTCACCTAATGGGTCCCTTGCCCTATAAGTGTAACTGATTCAGATTTGGAAAAATTATGCTTACCCCATGCCCTCTCCATTAGGACCAATTCCACTCCCACATCTTTTGGTCCAGCATCAGCCCTCTGCAGAGCTGTGAGGAGCCTCTAGGGAGGTGGCGGGGGTGTCTTAGTCCTTTCTTACTCAAAGAGGCAGGACCCCTTGCCCACCAATAACTTCTTACTTGATGAATCAGGACCTCTCCATCCCTTCCCTACCAGTAACTGGCCAGGCTGTCTTGCAACTGTTGAGTGTGACACAAGCAGTGGGCAGGTTACCTGACTGGGCTCTTTAAGGAGCTACTAAGGATTACAAGAAGAGCCATGAGTTAGGGACATAGCACACTTTCCTAAGAGGTGAAAATCCATCCTAGACTAAAACCTTCCCCTGAAGGAAGTCTCTTACTAACTCAAAACTCCCAGGACCCTGTGAACAGGCAACTCCATCTATAGTCATTCATTATTTAGGCTTCTTGATAAATTGTTCAGCAGATCTACTAAAAGAGCACAGAGGGAGAACTGAGAATGTGTTTAAGAAATTAAAGGAAAAGAAAATAGAGAGGTAAGAGATAGGAAAAGATAGAGGAGGTTGAAATGGAGAAAATGCTCCCAAGGGGGTATCTCATATAGGGAGAATTGTTTTCAGGGCACTCTTCACATCCCCTGCCACTCCAAGAACTATGCTTATGAACCTGCGCCCTTGCTTTTCATTTAGCAGGGCTGAGCCCAATGGGCCCCTGGAAAGGGAACTTGTCTGACCTCTCTGGTCAGCATTTATGACATGCTTACTAACTATGGATGCTGCTCTGGGTGATTTCTAACCACTAGTTCATTCAGTGCTCAGAACAGGCCTGCAATGCTTATTACTGTCACACACACTCGAGGACACTGAGGTCCAGAGGAGCTGGCAGCTGACCCAAGACCACCTGGTAAGTCTGGCCAGGCAAGGTTTGAATTCAGGGTCTGATGTCGGGGCTCAGGGTGCCTTAAGAGGCTCCAGCTGAGCAGGAGGTGGTTGTCTCTCCCATGATGCCTGTCCAAGTCCTGTAACCTCCCAGATTTGTCAGGCATCCCCTGTCCTTCATAATGGTTCCTTTGACTGAAACTAGTCCTCTCTCCTACATTCCTCTTGCCCTAAGATCTCCTGTAGCCAAGCAACATTAGGTGATCCCTCCATGCCTAGGTGATTGATGGCTTCAAGTTGCCCCATCTCTGAGGTGGAGAAGCTGGACTGGGCAGTTCCAGCTTGTTGGCCTCTTGATGCTTCCTGAGAGGAGATCAGACCCTTAGCCTATATGGCCAGCTGGCACAGTGGTCTGTTGTTGCCCTGTTACTTTCAAACTCCTTGGAAGTTATGCTGTCTGGCTCCGGGGTGGCATCTCTGTTTCCCTGGTTTTCCCTTTCTCCAAATCTATGCATTTCCAAAACAGCAGATGGATCTCTCCGAGCTCTTCCAGCCCCCTCTCCTCTAGCTCTGCAGGAAAGAGTTGTCTCTTCTGGGTCTTTGTGCTGCCTCTCCTTCCTACAACACCTATCTCTGTCCCCTGCCAAGTCTGTGATAACACTTTGTTCATTTGGGCTCATCAAACTGGAACTGACAGTCCTGGTCCTTATGATCCCAGGACCACAACACATGGCAGAGGTGTAAGGTTTTTTTTTTTTACTACAAACCAGAAAATTCCTAGTTCTCAGGTATAAATGGCCACATGCCCAGAAAAACTCCAGATGGTTTTATTGTTAGGTTTTATTTTCTTGTTAAGAAAACATGGTTGTTATTTGGTCAGATGGAAAGACCCTTGGATGACTTTGCTCTAGCCCAGGGACCAAGGATTCTTTCCTTACACCTTAGTCATGGCTCTCACAAGCCCCAAGAATAAAGACTGTGAAGATTCTTAGAGGAGTTTTCTCACCTGGAAGCCAAACATGAAACTGATAAAAATCGGTTCAAGGAGGTAAGTGGGATAGGGAGTGATTTCAGAGCTCCTATGTCTTCCCACATGTTCCCCAAATTCCTAGGACCTCTCACGGACTTTGAGTGGGTCTGACCAGCACCTCTCCAAGCCCCCGTCCTATCCACCTGTCCTGTTGGTGGTCCAGACAGGGCTGGGAAACATCCTTGAAGAGCTACCGGCCAGGGTCAAGAACAGTGTCTGCAACCTGGGACCATAGGATGCTTGTGCTGCAAGTGTGTTCCTAATCCTGTTGGGAGGTGGATAACTCTGCAATGCCACCAGACACCCACTCTACATTTAAGTATCAGGTTAGTTTGTAAAGCTCTTTCACAGGTCACTGCATTTTGATGAACAGCTGATGATAAGTGCTGTAGGTCTCACCTGGCAAGTATGGAATCCATCTTAGTGAGGAGGCCTGACTGAAGCCAGGAACAGAGCTGGCTGTGCCAGATGGGAGATGGGAACGTGACAGTCAATTCCTCACATTCCAAGGCTGATGTCATCTCACTATGCTCCAGATGCCTTCACTTGGCATATCTGGTGACTCAGGGCAGAAGAGGAGTATGGTAATAAAAGGCCATTCATTTCTGGAAGATTCTCTGAGGTCCCCTCCTACATCTCCCATAATATTCCTGCTTGCTTCTCTGTCCTCCTCAGGTGAGATGGAGCAGGGCTCTTCTGAACATATTCCCATTGTTATTTTTTGCATCTCAGTACCACGTGTACTGCTATTTTTATCCTGTACTAGAAACTATTAAATGGGGAGAAATGTTAATTGGTATTATTACAGCAAACTGTGTCCTAGTAACATTGCAATTCAGAGGTAAGCTTCCCACCCCCTCCCCTGCCTTTTAGGTGAAGATAGAGATTTTATTCATTTTGCTGACAGCAAGAACAGATTTCTTTTTCTGGTGCTGGGCCTGTGAGAAAAGGTGTTCAGGACTTTGACATGTTGGACTGGATGCTAGGCCTCCACTCTGGCTTGGTATGAGGGAGTGAAGTGGGGGTGGGTGGGATTGCTATCACTTTAGTTCTGTTTCCCTACTGAATCTAGACTACAAAGGATAGTATGTCTTCTAGGGAAGTGCATATAGATGTGGCTTTGTTAGAGAGTCTATGTCATGAGTATCTATGGTCCAGCTGAAGGAGACCATAACCTTCACACTTGTCCCCCTCAGCCACAGTGAAGAATGAACTGATTAAAATATAATAGCAGTGAAGTCCAGACAAGTTTTTGCTAACTACCAGAAGGAATGAAAGAGATACAAGATATAATCAAGAAATACAGAGCATGTTTAAATTTTTTAAAAAATTTATTATTGTAAAAGACACCTTGCCATTAATCTCTGTCAAAATACTCCCTCTTCCTGCAGCCGTACTCATCCCATCCTTCTTGCCACTTTCTGAAGCAGTTCCAGAAGCCCTCTTTCATGAGTGTCTTTAGTTGCACTGTCACAATGACCTTGATTTACTGAATCAACTCAAAACGTTTATCTTTTACGGTCATTTTGACTTTGGGGATGACCCAGAAGTCAAAAAAAGCCAGATCCTGTGTTATGGTTTGTGTCTGGGTGTCCCCCAAAGCCTCATGCGGTCATGGGGCAGGCTTTTAGAGTTTGATTGATTATGGGTGTGAGAGCTACACCTGGTCTGAGTTGGATAGTTTGCATATGTAAGGGAGAGGAAGACACTGCTTGGGGCCATTCCTGGCTTTTGTGCTTGTTGCTTTTGCTGTGTTCTGCCTCCATGAGCTGTAGCCCTCTGCCATGTGCCACTCTGCCTTCTAACCTGCTAAGTATGGACTGAAACCTCCACAAACTGTAAGCAAAATAAACCTTTCCTTCCTTAATTTTGGGCATCAAGTACTTTGTCCCAGCAATGAGAGAAAAATAACCAAGACATCCTGGGAATAAGGTGGATGAGGACTCACCAAAATGTTCTAAGTTCATAGAAATCACTGTGAATGCAAACTGCTTCAGAAAATGGCAACAACAATGAGATAAGCATGTTTGGAGCATGAAGTCTTTTGAGGGAGATTAATGGCAATGTGTCTCTTTTTGTAATATTTTTTTACATTAATTAAGTTTATTGGTATATTTTAGGTATACAAAATGATCACATTCATTATAGGGAAATTGCAATTGTACATGATATAAATTGATTCTTTTTCTCCCATTTCCCTACCCTCCCTTCAATCCCCCTTCCCTTCCTTATTTACAAATGCTTTGTTTCTATTTTTTTCTTCTTTTCTCTCCATTTTTTCTTTTTCTTTCCTTACTTTCCCCCTCCCCCCTCCCTAGATCCCATTCCCATTTAAACATTTTATTTTCCTATTTCACAATATCAATTACACATTTTGGTCCTTATTTACACTTTTGGTTTCTCACATCAGAGGAACCAGCAGTGTTTACATATGTATGTCTGATTTATTTCACTTAAGAGTATGGAGATATTGGTTTTTTTGGTACAATGGAGTACTACTCTGCCATAAAGAAGGATAAGCTTGAGACATTCCTAGCTAAATGGATGCACCTTGAGGCCATACTCTTAAGTGAAATACATTTTTAAAATTTAAACATTCCATGTATTTTTTATTTTTATTTTTTATTTTATTTTTTATTTATTTATTTTTTATTTATCACATGGGCTGAACACATGCTGGTTGAGTTCAAATCCTGACAGCTTTTCTTCCTAGTTATGTGACCTCCAGCAAGTCTGTTGTCTTCACTGGCTCAGTTTCCTCATCTGTAGAATGGTGCTGGTAATGCCTATGCCTCTGGGTTGCTGGGGGATAGAGCATATCACACAAAGCACATAGTAAGGAATCTGGAAATTAAAGATTTTATAGTAATTTTTTCTGCTATTTTCTGAGAATCATGAGGGCTGAGATTTTACTGTAAACAGCAAGAGGTAGAAAATGCAGATTCCAAACCAGTATTGCTACTGACTGCATGAACCTAACCTGTGGTAGAGAATACATTCCAAATCCTCTTTATCCCCCTTTTACCATGGAAGAATAATCAACTTGATTTTATTGTGCCCTAAAATTTTTTCTTATAGCACTGATTGCTTTTTAAAATAATTTTAACAATGTATACCAAATGTGGAAAATATGGAAAAAAATGAGAAATCAAAATCATCTGAAATCCTACTACCTTCAAAACTTGTTGCTACTTCAGTGTATCCTTGTGAATTTTTCCCTATAAATGTACAGTTCAAATATATACAGAGCTGAGATTCTACCTATGTGTATTTACTATTGCTTTTTCCCTCCCTTTTTATTGTGAACACTTCCTACTGTGATTACATTATCTTTCAAACATGATTTTTAATGAAAGTCTGATATTTCACAGTGTACTATTTGCTCTTGTGTTCTTTATCTGTAAGCTTTGTGGTTGTCTTTTTAATGCATTTACTTCTTTTTCCCTTTTTATTTCCCATTAAGTTTTGTTATAAGGATTGATGGGATTTCCTTTACTTTCCCTCCCTCTGGTGATTTGAAAACTATTCATCCTACTTTAACTTAATAGTGGTTACCTGTAAGTTTTTGAAAGCATATTTAAGCCCATATTCCCTAAGCATCAAAGTTAAGAATTAAATACTGATTGTACAGCCTTTTCCTACCACTTTCCAATTTTTGTTAATACAGTCTAGATTTTACAAAACACGGTAATACAGCACCTTTACATTATGTTAATTTCAGTGTTCGCTCATCCATTTCAAACACTGTTTTTGACGATGCTACTATTTTATAATAACTTACACTGTGTTTAGACAATGCTATCAATTTACCATTGCTCACAGATACATTACACTGCAAATTCCTCACCTTAATTTTGATTTGCCTCCTTTCTCAGCATTTGCCATGAAGATTTTTTCCATGAAGGAAGTACTGGCAGTGTAATTTTTATGCTGGATGTCTGACAGTGTCTTTCTGTTGACCTTACATGTAAATGAAAACTTGACCGAGTACTTTTCTTTTCTCAAAGTTGTTGAAATCACTCCATTGTCTCTGAGTAGTGACTTTAGAAGAGAAGCCCGAGGGTACGGGGACTTTGATTCCTTTGTAGGGGATCTTGTCCTTTTCTCTGTCTGAAGATTTATAGAGTTCTCCTTAGATATCAGAAATACTTTTCAGGATATGTGTGTGGGTTGACTTAATTTCCTTTGCATTACACTTAAATATGCTCTTTCAGTCTGCAGCCTCAAAGCCTGCAATGTAGGTGAGGTCATTATTGCTATCGATAACCATCATTGTCATTTCTTCTCTGAGCTGTTTCTTCCTTGGAGGATTGTCTCTCTATATGGTCCATGATTTTGTTATTCAGGTCTCAGTATCACTTGATTTATTTTTTTCTCAGTATCACTTGATTTCCAGGAAAGTTTTGCAAGTGTGTGTTTAGTTTGTCAATTGCAGTATGTTTCCTACTATTTACTGCTTTTGTGAGCCATTCCTGCAAGCTTAGCAGGCCTCTGGTGCTTCCTTCTAGCTGGACAAGAAGGGCGAATCACAGCAAGGGCCAGATCAAGTTCCACTCACTTTCTTATATAGTTTATGTATTGTTTACGTGTTGTTACTGCTTTGGGGAGCTTGGTTTTAAAAGAGACTGTGTGGCCTTAAACCTGTTAATATTGATTCTGGCCTTCAAAAGGGAAAGTTTACTGACCTCTTCTCTAGATAGTATTTACATTGGTTTTACAAACAAAAGTCCTCCTTGGTTTTATTGAAAAACAAATAAGAAAATTTCCCAAACATTCTCTTCCACTGTGTCTCTTATAGTAAGTTATCTTGTAGAAAACACTTCTTTTTTAATAGAAAATATTTCTTAAGGTAGTTCTCATCTTTTTAAAAAAAATTTTTGGACCTGTGATATCTTTCTAATTCTTTGGTGACTTTTTTTTTTTTTATTTGTTCAACCACAGAAGAAAGGCTGATGTTGTTGTACGTGAGGCATGCTGGGTCTACAAGGGGAATGTAGAGGGCTCTTTTCTGAGTGTTTAAATCCTAATCTCTCTCTCATTGAAAAACCAAACTCATCTTCAGCACCAAGTATAATTCCTCTCACTTTAGGCAGCAAAGAAAGGAAAGAGAGAAACTTAGGCACAGAGAGCCTGTAGCATACATACAATTTTTAGTTTAAACATCACTTTTTGCTGCAAATTTCCAAGTCCCACTCCTCAGCTGACTTGGTTTCTCCCTGGTAAAATCTCTGCCAGTGTCCTTTAACACCTGAAACTTTGGAAAGGCTGTGACTGTCACGTGATGAAGCCCTGGGACTAAGGGGTGGGCATTAGCTCAGCTATTTCTAAGTAACTACTTTTGAAGATATTTGCAGGACTTACAGTTCCAATTCTTTTTCTGTTGCACCTGTGTTGTACATGGCCATCAGTGTCTTTGTCTTTGTGTAATTCATACATCTGAACCTTTGGAAATTTGGAAGCAGGAGGTGAGGATGTTTGCTCCTTGTGTGTTTACTGCACCACCTACCTGACTGCAAGGTGCTGCATGAATATGGGGCCCTTCTGCTAAATCACACTGTTGTAGGCTACGATGACAACCATGCTATGTGCCCACATGCATGTTCATCATAGGAGGGGGAGGGGAAGAGTGGGAGTAGGTATGAGCAAATGTACTTTTGGTAAAAACATGGATTTGAAAAATCAAATACTTTTAAGATTTAGTAAGCTTCCATTATCCACACTTCTGGAAGGGAGATGTGAGGTACATCATCAAAATCATCCAATCATTTAAAAATTCTTTTCACATACTTTTGGGGTGCTTTTTGTGAAATGTGGTGGAGCTTTCCTACTTGAGAGCAGGACTCCCCCCAGCCCTCTGCAAATTTATTTTTCGATCTGCATTTACTTGGGATGGTTCTAAAATAAGTCTGGATTCCCCACCACCCACTAGCCTGGATATCTAGGGCAGCAGGACTAAACCCTGACAATGCCCAAGAGAATAAACCACATCCAGAACCTCAGGACTGATTGCCATCCATCTTCTTCCCGGAACATCTACCCCTCACACCCTAATGTGATTCACCCTGAAAAAGTCTGCAAAACCAAATAGTCTAGCTACTTACTCCTTAAGGGTCTTTCCCTGGCATCCTCTTCTCTACTGCCAGGGAAATAGTATCTGTCCATTTCACATTTGCTGTTATTCCATTTCTTTCCAACTTCGCTTGAATGATAGCTCATGATCAAAGGGGTTGAAATGCTAATAAAAAAAAGGGATCTTTTTTTTTAATACCAACATTTTTCTAATGCCAACAAAAAATAATCTTGGTAGTATTAGAAACAATGGCCACTACTTAAATTCTTGCCTTGTGCTTTGTTGTAGTTTAAAGTTTACAAGGGGAATAGTATAATTTAATACAGAACACATAGTTTACAGAATTATTTTATAATAGTCACCTGAAGAGTCATATACAAAGAATACAAGAAATCTGTTCACACACTAAAGACCAAAGAATCTAGCTGAGGGCTGGATCCCATGGTAATGTCCTTCATGTGTCCAGCTGAAGACCTAGAGCCCATAACAATGTCCCCCACAAGTCCAACTGGAGGCCTAAAGCCCACGACAATGCCCCATGCAGGCCTATTTCTCAGATCTGTGCTGGGGAGGCCCAAAGGTCAGTGGTGGAATCTAGAAAGTCAGTGCACGCGGGATGAAGGATCTGTGCTAGAAGACTGAGGGATCTGTACTGGAGCCAGGAAGTGATGCTCAAAGTAAGGACCAGAGCTCCTCCAAAATGAACCACAACTTTTCTCAGCGACCAAAAGGTTCTGAGCTCCTCCTCCAGTGAGAACAGCTAAGTTCATCAGGAAAGCCAGCACGACAAGCTTCTCCAGAAAAACCAACAGCTCCTTACAGCTTCTAACAGCACCCAACAGCTTCCCAACAAGTTCTTCCCTTCCCACCAGTTATACCCCTTACGCTGCTGGTAACAATCCTCAGGTGGGCCTCCCACACCCAGCACTATACTCACTCAGTCAGCTGAGTGTTACAAGTTGACCACCAGTTGTCAGTCCACCACATGCTTTTTGGTGCAATTTCTAAATTAGGGGCTGTGTCCGGAGAAGCCATCTGCTCAGGAGCATTTAGTCCCCAGAGTTGCTGATGTCTTTGTTCATATGGCAACCCAGAGGGTCAGAAAGCTTCCCAGCTTGGGGCTGCAAGGCACTGTGCAGGCTGTGATGACTCTGGTTTGGTTACATCATGTAAATATATAGGCTTTACCTACTCCTGCATAGATGTATGTATTTATGTTTCCTAAGCTACATATTTCAGGGTTGTAATTGCATCCATGCCCCACCACATCATAGACATGAAGGGAAAATAAGGGCTTTGCACGTTCTTAGAGAGGTAATTATGGTAATAGACAGGCCTTGTTTGCTGTGCTTGTCCTGTGAAACACTTAGCCCAGCTTTGCCCTGCACACAGCGTTGGGAGTGTGTGGGCTTGGCAGAGGACTGTTTACAGTGTGGGTTTCCTGGGTACCTTTCTATAGCATTACCATACTCACACAGGAAGGTGCGTGTAACCTGAGTACACACTCTGGTGCATATTCACAATCCCAGCTCCTCCATGACAAATCAACAAATAGAACATTCCCATTTCCCAGAAGTCCCCTCCTGCCCCTTGAAGTCCCAGCCCTGACCCTCTCTGGGGGGCACCCACCCTCCCATCTCCTCACAGCACAGACTTGCTTCATCAGTTTGGTGCTTGATCCCTATGGCTCTGTGTGGGACATACTTTTTAAATCTTATCCCTTTTGCTCTATTTTGTGTGTGCTACCATGACCTGGGTCATTACCTGCAACTGTAACTTATTTACTCATTTTGTATAGCATTCTTTTGTGAGGATCTACCAAAATTTTGTTTTGCATTTTGTTGTTGTTGAGCACTTGAATGGTTTGCGATTTTTGTCTTACATGAATAATGCTGCTCTTACTTTCTTTGTGTAGGCCTTCTGGTGACCACATATATTCCCATTCCTACCGGAAATATATGTAGGAGTGAAATTCCTGGTCACTTAGTGTATTCTGCTTTCACAGATACTGCCAAATATGAACCAGGTATTTTAAAAGGGCTTTAGTCTCAGCAGGCTGATTAACATCCTCACCAGAAAAGAGCAGACAGGGTACACCAAGTTATTTTTAGACTACACAGTAGAATGGGTTTGGGGGAAAGATAGCCACAGGCATATTATTTCAATAAGTGTTTATTGAGGGCTCACTGTCTAAATGAAAAGAAATATTAGTTCCTTCTGGGTGCTGTAACAAATTATCACAAACTTCATGGCTTCAAACAACACATATTTATTCTCTTAAAACTCTGGAGGTCAGAAGTCCAAAATGGATTTCACTGGGCAGAAATCAAGGGGTGCACAAAGCTAGTTTGAAATAATTTTAGGTTTCTAGAAGAGTTGCAAAGGCAATTCACAGAGTGGCTCTATGTCCTATATCTAGAAGCTCTACAGAATCCATGTCCTTGCCTTTTCCAGAGCTGCAGCCTTTGGTTTTTGAAGCCATGCTCCATCCCTAAGGCCAACAGCAGGCACCTTTAAATCCCTTCCTGCTGTGTCTTCCTGTGGCCTGCTCCTCTGTGTAGTAAGAGCTCCCTCACCTTCTTAGCAGGATGCTTGTGACTGATTTAGGATTCTGCAGATGATCCAGGATGATCTCTCCCTTCTTGGGATCCTTAATCTCATCACATCTGCAAAGTCTCTTCTTCCATACCAGGTGCCACATAAGGCAATTGTACTTTTCAGGGATTAGGACCTGGAGTTTTGGGACCATTATTCAGCCTACCATGGAGGGAGATACCATCATAACTTGATTTTAACAGAACCTGCCCTCATGAAAACCATAATGGTGCCATCATAAGATTTCCAGTTGTTCTGCTGCTATCTATGGTTCTCATGGCATCACAGGAGAAGGCTGGCTAATGGGATGGGAGAAGTGGACCTAAAGCATAGACAATTTAAGATTTCTTTCACCAAATTGTAGTTCACTTTTCTTAGTAACAAAGATTCTAAGATAGTTAGGAAGAAAATATCAAGGTATAAGATACCTTTCACACATCCTGTTTGGACCCTGAAATAACAGGTGGACATTGGTGGGAACTGACATCCAAGTGTAATCCTTGCCATGTAAATTTAATTAACCATGTCATGGAACATGGCCTAGCGATCACGCCATGGTTATGTCAGGTGTTAACATGAGGGGATGTTAGGTGTAGGATATAGAGCCCCTCTGTGCATTGCCTTTGCAACTCTTCTAGAAACCTAAAATTATTTCAAACTAGAAACTTAAAAAAAATACAAAGTTCCCATCTCAGTACCAGAGAAAAAGCTCCAAATTCCCTATGTTTATGTAAAGTGGGAGACAGGGTCCAGTGTGGGCAAAATGAATTAAGAAGATATAAAAAGTTGATGAGATTTTAAAAAGCTAGAATCATTAAAGTCTAAATGGTGACTGGGGGCTGTAGACAAGTGCAATAGCTTTCTTGGCATCTCTGCAGGAATGTAGCCGTCATCACTGGTTTCATCCATAGTCTCCCAGGAGACCTGGGCAGAGGGCAGTCCCTGGGTATGAATGGCGGAGAACCCTCCCTGCCTTCAACCTCTGATTGATTTATCAACTCCTCCTTGGCCCTCTTCCCCTGCCCTCCTCTCTTCTTTTGGCCCTTCCCAGGGCTCAGGCTGTTAAGGGCTCCCCCATGGCCTGCTGACTCACAGCTGTGTTGTTATCTTCTCGTCACACACTTATCTGGGCACAGTTAGAACGCTGTAATAAAATTTATCACTGACTTTAATTCCATCATCGTCCAGACCCGGTTGATTAGCCCCTCTGGTTGTTTGGCTTAGCTCGGCACCTCCAGCTTTTTCTGAGGAAATTGGTAGAGATAGGGGCTCAGAGAGCCCTCTCAGGCTTATAACAAGAGAGCAGAGGCAAACCTGGACCCTAAACACCCTGATAATAAATAAATGCAAATGGCTTCTTTTCTCTCCTACCCTCCTATCAGTCTTGTTTCATGGCCAGAAGAGGAAAGAGGCCATGCTATGAGGTGCATGAGGCTGACCCCACCTCATGACAACCTCACCTGCCCGACCCCAATCCTGCCAAGATCTCCTGAGAGGGGAGAGAGGCTGGTGGGTGGGTCTCGGCAGGGGAGCTGAGGGCAAGGCTCTGCTTCAGTGGAGTGGGAGCCCTGCAGCTGCCCCCCACACTGGCTGTGGACTCTCTGCTAGGCCACATGGATCTGGCAGCCTTTTCTGCTTGTCTAACTCGCTTCACAGTTGCATGCTTGGCACACAGTTTTTAAGCCCAGAGAGAGGGTGTGGGTAGAATGCAGAGTAGAGATTCCTCAAGGGGCACTTTCAGTCAGATAACATACTGTGGGGCTCCCAGAAGACGAGTGGGTGGTGCCTGTGTCATCCTAGGGTGTGTGAGTGCATGTGCGTGTGTGTGTGTGTGTGTGTGTGTGTGTGTGTGTATACACACTCTCAGAGTGCACTGGGATTTGGCAGGTCTCCAAGTGTAATTGCAGCAGCCTTTCACCGTGTGTGTATATGTGTGTGTGTGTGTGTGTGTGTGTGTGTGTGTGTGTATGTATGAGAGACACAGAGACAGAGAGAGAGAGAGGGAAAAAGAGAGAGAGGCAGAGACAGAGAGATCTACTCAGGCATGCCAGTGTGGGCTTGCTCCTCCACCCTCTCTTCATGTTTTGCTTTGCTGCCCAGCTGCCACCTGCGTGTCTCTCATTCCCGCTGCACCATCCAGAAAGCCAGATGCCCCTCCCAACCCCTGAAGGTAAACCTGTTCTGTGTAAAGAGGCATCTTGTCTCGGCGTAGTCTCCTTCCTCAGGTTTCCTGATCTTTTCAGGTGCCTGCTGGTAGGGAGGCAGATACCGGAGCAGCAGCAGCAGTTGTGGATACCTGCTGTGCACATGCAGTCAGAGCCAGGTGAGACTGGAGACAGTCGAAAGGCAGGTAGCCGGCGCTGCCTGTCAGAGCAACCTGTCTCCCTGAGGTAGGTCCCACCATCTTGGCAGGGATGCACAGAGCCTGTGCTGCTGGCCAGCCTCAGCCCTAGGACGTGCTGCTGGAACTGTGTGCGGTGGAGGCACATGGTAGGGCAGGGAGAGGCCAGTACTTTCCTGCTCAGGCTGCTGTAACCATGGACTGGGTAACTAAAACTGCAGACATTTATTGTTCCATAGTTGTGGAGGCTGGAAGTTCAAGGTCAGTGTGGGTAGGACCGGTTTCTCCTAAGGCCTCTATCTTTGGCTTGCAGATGGCTGTCTGCTCCCTGTGTTTTCATGTGGTCTTTCCCTTGTATATGTCTATGTTCTAATGTTCTCATTTTATACGGACACCAGCCTCATTAAATTCAGAGTTCACACTAACAATCTTATTTGAATGTAATGACCTCTTTAAAGGCCATCTCCAAAAACAATCACATTCTGAGATCCTGGTGCTTAGGGCTCCACATGTGAATTTGGAGGATATATAATTCAGCCCATAACAAGGTCCTTTCTGTGTGTCCATTCTGACTCCATCCTCCTGGCCATTTCCCAGCCAGCTTCAAGAACCACAGAGTGCCCCTCACAGAACCCTAAGTACTTTCGCACACGTGAGCAAATGGCTTTGGGTTTTACGGCGAGCAAATTAACTGCAAGGATGATACAGATTTTTGTTATTATTTTAATATTTATGGGATAAGTAAAAGGCAATATGATATAGTGGCAAGAACAAAAGCTTTGGAATGAGAGTTGTTATGTGACCTTGATCAAGGACCACGTTTCCCTCCCTCCCTCATATGGTGAGTCAAAAGCAATATTGCTGGGCACCAGTGGAATAGATACTAAGCTCCCAGAACTTTGAGCACTCATTGTGGACAAAGGATGAGCTGAAAACTGGAGTTCCTTTTTCTTGCAAGGCTGGGTCTCAAATTTGCATGTGAATTGGAATCACCCAGGGGCCTCTTACACCATAGACAGCTGGGCTTTCCTCCTGGAGTTCCTGAGTCAAGAAAGCTAGACAGTTGCATTTCCAAGGGCAGCTGCTGGTCCAAAGGACACACCCAGGGACTCCTGCCTCACAGTCTCTGCCCCAGCTTAGGGTCTGCCTCACCTTAGCCACTCCTGTCATTGCTGCAGTTCTATCCTGATCTGATT